ATTATTTTAACAAGAAATTATATTTACAGTAATGATCTTTATATATATTTTTATTATTCGTGAGAAATTCAAAAACTCTACTCAATCCCGCGGATCCCACACGTGATCTCGCATCCCGTGCAGGATTTTTGAAAATATCGGTATTTGCCCATCACTAGTTATGCGTATTAATCAACGCATGTCATTTTTCAATTTCCACCGATTGAAAAATGACTCGGGTCAGTTCTTAATGCTGACAAGACTTGCATGCAATAATAAAACTGATTAATAATACAATAGTTCTTTTACTATCATGTATTTTTTTTCTTCGTAGTACTTATGAATTTACAAGTTACAATTTTCTATCACCAATGAAAAATAAACAAGCATCTAATTATATCAAAATTGTTTGGACCTTTACTGCAGATGAACTACTACATGTCAAGTTCGTAATTTTAAAACTCTTAGTTCATAATATTAAAGACTCTTAGTTCATAATATTCAAACACTTTTAACCTAAAATATTCATATAAAATATTTAAAAACGTCCAACTATCCCTTAACCCATTTGTCAATTGGGGGCAAATTTGCCCTGAAATTTTTGGATGCTCGTTTATATTACAACCATGACAAAATAATAGTAAACATGGTATAAAACTTTATACCACAATATAAAAACAGTATTTATTTTGTTATTTACATTCATGATACTCAATAAAACAATCTGGACGCTGCTTATTAAAACATAATAGCACATTACATGTTGTGCACCACACCTGGCTTTGTGGTGAATTTTATACCTGCACCAAATACTTGAACCTCTTTGCTCATGATATACTGGGTAGTGACTTTGTGGTAATAATCATTCAACAGGTAACACAAATTTTTTTGTAACATAAAATGGTCTTTGTTGATCATTTTGTAATTCTAACTGAAATGTTGCTTTTTTTGTCCGTGTATTTAATTGTTGGTAATTTGACTCATTTCAAGTGATTCTTCTACCAAATTCTATGCCAAATTTATTCTGAAATCTTTGTGCACTGTTATCAAATTAAGATTTTTTGAAATTAAGAAAGTATTAACAATATTGGTATCCAGAAGCCAAAAAAATAATGGCATTCAAGTGCGATATACAGGAACTTGTGTTGTATAATAACCCTTAATTGATTGACAATGTCAACACTATCCACATTATAGATATTTTATAGAATAGGTGGGTATTATAAGAAATAAGCTTCACTAATGATTAGTAATCATTAATTTTTTAATAGTGGAGTTGCAGAGTTTGTAGAGTTTGCCTACCTATTTTATAGAATATCTTATATAATAGTTGTAATCATCTATTATAGCAGATATGGAAAGAACTTTTTTACTTACATTACCAAAAATATAACAAATTTTTACTGCATTTGTACTAGTTGTTCATGGCCTTCTTCTTTCTTATTCTACTTGAAATTCTAAAATTTTATGTATGGTTATTAACATGGTCACAGAACTATTATCCATCCAAAACACAACTAAAACATCATTCATAACTGCTTTAGAAAGAGTATCCCATTTGAATTTTGGTGATTTTTATATTTTTGAGCAAAAAAAAATTTTGAAGTATTAATTCTTACAGTTCCACAACCACCATACCCATTTTTTCATATATGATTAAATAGGTTAATACTAGTAAAAAAATTATCTATATAAATATCGAATGTTTTGTTTTTTGGAAGTTGAGATACCAAGTGATAAACCTGCTAACTAATTTTGTAATATTCAGAATTGAAGTAATTTTAGAATTAGTTTCAATTGATTCAATATGGGAAGTAAGAACAAAACAATAAGTATATCCTGAATCATATAAAGAAAATATTTTGTATTCTTCAAATGTGGGTTTATTATTAATTCACACTATATAGCTGCTTCTTTCTCTAAATCTAACAACTATTTTGTTAATAGGAACTTGTGATTTTGGTAAGTATAATGATTTAGAAACTTTTGTATATGTGTAGCCAAGGGTTTAATTTTTAAATATTATGATAACTGTGATAATTTTATTTTAATTTTTGTGATATAAAGATATCACTTTATCTTTTATTTTTTAAAAAAATCAATAAAATAAAAAATAAACTTGTTCAAATTAAACTAAAGTCATATATTTTGTAATTTCATGTTGTGGATATTACCAATCTATTTTTTTATAATTTTCTCTACTTAGTAACTTAAAAATACCCATATAAATTATTAAAATAAATTATATTGACAATTCTTTGATTGTTAAAAAATACTATTTACATCTGTTATTAGCCAATTTTGCTATTGCATAATAAATTATATTTTTAACAATAAAATTCAATTATAAATTAAAAAAGAATAGATAAAAAATTGAATATAAAGTAATTTCACTAATAGGTAATTTGTTGGTTACTTTTACTTAGAAAATATGATATGGTTTAGTATGCTTAAATTTTTAAAATAACAGTAGTGGTGGTAAATTAATTAAAGATATATTTTTTTTGTTTGACTAAGTTTATTAATTTTATTAATTTTTTTTGTTTTTATATTCATAGTTTCTTCTTTAGACTCATTAGCAGCTTCTTCTTCAGTTTTATCAACAAATTATATACTTTATCACCTTCATTATCAGTAATATCTCTAACTTTACTTTCAATTTCATTCTCAATATTTTATATGAGCTCAAAAATATAGGAATCATTGTCTTCAATATCATTATTCATATTGTATTCTTGATGTCTAGAAATAGTATTAAAGTGGTATGTAAAAAAGAAAGTAAGTAAATAAAAAATAAATAAATAAATAAATTATAATGATTGTAATCAACAAAGCCTAATAGAAGATGATCAAACAATTACCAAAAAAACAATGCATTGCATAAACCAAAAATAAATGAATAATTCTAAATAAGTAAAATCAGCTTTTTTGAATTAAATAAGGAAAACCTTAAATTTTCTATATATGCACTACATGAATTACAAATTGAATTTTAAAAATTTGAGTGTAAAATTGTAGGAAAAATATTTAAGAGATAATAGAATGGGAATTTCTTTTAAAAAAATTGCCACAAATTATAATTAAGCTACTATCAAAAAATTTGCTATACTCAAGATGATATGGATACATTCTATTTGTTAAAACAATTATATTTAAAATATTTTGTATATATATATAAACTTTGATTATACTTCATTAAACACACATATGTGAAGTGTATGTTGAATCAAATCGTTATAATTACATTTTTAAAATTATATTAACTATAAAATAGCCTATATCATTTTCTAATTAAAAATAAAATATAGAATTAATAATTAAAATAAATTAAAAAATAATATGAAAAATGCATAAAATTGAATATACACGTAAGTTTAAATGTATTATAATAATTTATTTATTAATAGTAAATTTTATACAAATATTTGTTGAAAATATCATATTATTTTTAAATTGAAAAATAAAATGCATTAATTAATAATTGACATAAATTAAGAATATCATATAATATATATAACTAGTGATATGCAAAATCCTGATTTTTTCAAATTTTATACATATGGGAATTTGTTAAAATTGCTTATAAGTTTTTAATGTTTTAGCATTTTAGCATTTTAATATTTTAGCATTTTAGAGATTTTAAGTTATGCACAATATAGATCATTTCTATAAAAGAAGTATGATCTATATGACTATTGTCTTATTTGGGAAACATCTAAAGTGGAGCAAATTCTTATAATATATATTTTATTGAATTAACTTTGAGGTTAGGATCATCTTATATTAGGGTTAGGCTAGGTTTTAGGTAGTTAGATATAAGCAAAATTGTCTTTCTAATATTTTAATTAACCTGCCTGAGGTAGGTTTAGACTGCTGTTTTTTGTATTTTTCAGGTTTTTCATTTTTATTTCTTGTTTTGCTTTACTAGCAATCATCAAAATTCTATGATTTGATTGGTCAGATATCATGTGATTCTGCTCCACTTTAGATGACCCCCTTATTTGAAGTGAAAAGTCTACAGACACGTACAGATCACATGATTTTTCACATACCATCAATCATGTAATATTTTATATCAGCCATACAAACGTATATACTAATATATATACAAATCATTTGAAGTGATCAAGCAATCACAAAAAATACTCATTGAAAGTATACATTACTATGGCTTGTATGATAACAAATAATTACATTTATTGAGATATCATTATCAATTTATTCCACTTTTCAGAGTATTACCAAGTAATTAATAATGCATGTTCTTTTGAAACTCTGATTAATGAGAGGAAAAAATCTATGCAACTTAGATGCATATGATGTAATAATATTTCATAAAAAATAATATATAAGAAAAAAACAATTAGTTGTGATCGTTCGCTTAAAAATTTAATTAATAATAAAAAACGCTTATTTTTGAAATACTTGTTATTCATTAATACATTTTTGATTAATTATTGTATCAGTTATAGAACTGACCATGCCTAAATTGAACAAGAAATTTGAGTCTTTAGAGGCCTTTGAAAATGCTACTAAGTTAGCTGCTAAAGCTTATAGATTCGCTTTTTTATGAAAAGACAGTAACTTTGTTAGAAACAAAACCAAATCACTCTTTGTTGTCTTGCAATGTACTAAAGGTAGAGAATAGCACAATAACTGGAATATAACTGAAGAAACCAGAAAAAGAATAAAAGATACCAAATGTGAAAAATGTCCTGTATATATTAGGGCCACTATAAAATATTATTCAACAGTAAATTCTAGCAATGAACCTGTATAGATTGTCACAAGAATTGCACTTAAGCACAATTACCCTATGCTTAAAGTTGATAAAATTGCAACATTTACTCAGTATCATGTCATGAATTTAGAGCAAAAAAATCTTATAAAACAATTGCATAAAAGTAATGCACCCACATGAGTTATCATAGTAGCTGCTAACAAAATTGATAATGGTAGAATTATTCATCCAAAGAATGTTGTAAATAAATATACTCGTATTAGACTTGCCTTGAATGAGGGTTTTAATGATGATTCTACTTAAAAATTTTTGAAACTTCTTAAAGAGCTTGATTACATTGTTGTACTATTAAAAACAGTAAAAGGATACTTAACTCATCTATTTTTTCTCATGTTAAAGCAATCAAATGCATTGCAAGATATCCAGAGGTTCTTATTGTAGATTCGACATACAAACAAATATCTACAAGTATCCTCTTGCAAGTGCTGTTGGTATCAACAATATCAGTAATGAAAAAGAAGTATTGGCATCTCATCAAATTGCAATAGCCTGGATAGAAGATGAAAGTGAAGTATCGTATACATAGTTTCTGCAAACACTTTAGACTAAGATCTATGATGTTTATAGTTGTTTTTCTAAAGTTTTTATGTCTAATAGAGATTAGATATTAAGAAATGCTACGTCTAAGGTGTTTCCTGAGTCTAACAAAATACTATGCGTTTGGCACATTTTGGAACAGAATTTGAAGACTAATTGTCGCAAACTTTTTAAGGAGAATGATGACTACCAGATATTTAAAAAAGAAGTTGAGGCTTTATGTTTTACATTGTATGAAGAGCAAATCCCACAATCATTAAATGTAGTTAAAAAAGCTGCAAAAAAATCATATACTCCTAAAAAAGTAATGTCGTATATTGATATATTGATGAAAGAATCAAATACATAGATTTTTGCTTATACTAAATAGTTCTGCCATATAGGAATATTGACAACTAGAAGGTCAGAGTCATCTCACAAAGTATTTAAGCAAGCAATCGAGACTGCTAAGGATTTGGAAAGTATTTTTTGTCAGATTGATTAAATGATGCATCTACAGCATCTAAAAGCATCTATATACTTAGATTCAAATAAAGTTGCTGTCAATCTATTTACACTTCATAACTCCAAATTTGGCAAGCTTATTGAAAACATATCAGTATGAGTAATCAATAATATCAAAAGAATATTACAAAAAATGAAAGAAAGTTCTATTGTAAATAAATATACCGAAATTTGTAAGTGCCTGACCAAGATTAATTATAAACTTCCTTGTTTATATGTAATTTCAATAGATAGTCCAATTCTTTTGTCTATTATTGACAAAAGATGGCTTCTTGAGAGACCTGATATCATAGAGTCTCTGTGTCCTTCAAAGTCTATAATTACAGATCCCAAGTTTTATAATACAGTCAGACCTCCTTATAATCACACCCCATATAGTCACACCTCTATTTAAGTACCAGTTTTGTGTGACAGATTTAAAATATAGTAAAAAAAATCTCATTATAGTCACAAATCACTTATAATTGCTATTATCTTAAAATCTAATTTTTAAGTCAAATTTATTAATAAAAAAACCTCTTTATAATCACTAATTTATTAATTGAAAAGTTTTTTGACTAAATTAATTATCTTTGAGTCTCTAAGTAAAGTTGTAGAGCTCATTAAGACAAATCTAATGGTGGTTAAATCATCAAAATTGGCCTAGTAGATGTTAAGATATCTTCAAAAATTTTTGGATATCTTAGCAACTACTAGGCCGATTTTGATGATTTAACCACCATTAGATTCGGCATAATAAGCTCTACAACTTTACTTAGAGACTCAAAGGTAGTTAACTTAGTACAAAAAAAGTTTTAGATTTAGGACAATTATGACTAACGAATTATCAATTAATCATTGATTGACTAAAGATCATGTGATATTAATCTGATATTTGTTTATAGTCACATCTTTATATAATTACCAAAATAGGGAAAATAGAGTGTAACAGACTTGGTAATTATATATAGGTCTGACTGTACTTTTATTAAAGCTGAGGAAACTTTTCAATAATTACTAGATAGGGTTTCAAAAATTGAGTTCATTACAAATAGTTAATATGCCATTATCTGAGCCAATTAAACTGCTACAAAAAATAGTAACAAAAGGTCATCCTTCAAATACAAAATGAGATTTACTTTTAAGTGAGCATCAAGAAATTGCTGTTGTAAAAAAAAA